ACAGAGAGAAGAACAAAGCTGTGCACGTGTCGTTCCTCGACCTTGAAAAGGCATTTGACAGGGTCCCCCACGACCTCATCTGGCACTCGCTTCGATCCCATGGAGTCCCTGAAACCTACGTGCATTGGGTGCAACTCCTATACAAGAACGTCACCAGTGCAGTCAGGTGTGCAGTGGGCATATCACCGCCATTTCCCATCAGCGTTGGAGTGCACCAAGGATCGGCCCTGTCACCACTCCTGTTTATCCTGTGCATGGACACGATCACTGCCAACCTGCACACGCCCCTCCCATGGTCAATTCTCTACGCGGATGACGTCCTCCTCTCAGATGAAGAGAGAGGAGAAGTGGAAAGACAAACGCGCCTGTGGAAGGAACGTTTGGACGAAAACGGGATGAGGTTCAACATCAAAAAGACGGAGTATATGGAGTGTGGCCCCCAAACCGACGGCACCATCAGTATTGACGGAGAAGATCTGAAGAAAGTGACGGACTTTAAGTACCTGGGCTCCACCATCAGCTCAGATGGTAGCATCACGACTGATGTGAGGTCACGAGTCAATGCGGCGTGGATGAAATGGAGGCAAGTCACCGGAGTCCTCTGTGATCGGAAAATGCCGGATAGGCTGAAGGGAAAAATATACAAGACCATCGTCCGACCGGTGGCACTCTATGGATCCGAGTGCTGGCCAGCCACAACTGTACACGAACAAGCTCTCCACACCATGGAGATGAGGATGCTCAGATGGAGCCTCGGGCTCACTCGATGGGATTGTGTCAGGAACGAAGACGTTCGGAAGCGACTTGGTGTGGCCCCCATTGCGGACAAGATGCTTGAGGCAAGGCTTCGGTGGTACGGCCATGTGATGCGAAGTGAAGAGTCATCAGTGGCCAAGACTGCCGTGCGTATTGAGCCAGAGGGCCGCCGTCCACGCGGACGTCCGAAGAAGCGATGGATGGACCGAATAAAGGAAGACATGAAGACGGTCAACGCATCCCCTGAAGATGCCCTGGACCGAGCCAAATGGAGAAGACAATGCCGAAAAGCGGACCCTGCGCCACAGCGGGAACAACGCTAGGAAGAAGAAGGTGCTTACGTCCGTGGGTGGAATTCCTTTCCAGCTCACACCCCGCCTGCTTGCCCATCGCCACATATATCGACTTGTTGAAACAGCTCTCTCACTGGTTCAGCAGTTCCACTGCTGGATGATATTTTTTCCGCCTGAGGACGATCGCTTGTGTTGCGATCGGAACGTCGTGATTTATTTTATTTTATACTTACGTGACTTTACCGAAAGAACCAAAGAGTATGGATTCCTGCAGTCACGAAAGCTTCAAATCAAGATTGGTGTTACTTATTTTATGGACCTCAGAGAGATGATAGGTCGAGTCAAGACCTTATCCAGATTTGAAATCAAAAGTTCTCACAGTCGGGCACTTTGATCACAGCAACACTCATTACCATCCTATAAATATAGGATTGTATCATTTCATTATAACTAGCTCCTGACTTTCATGAGAAGCACATACTTGTGCACACAAATACAAAAGATCCCCGTAGAGTCTCAAGAGACTTTTGGGGCAAGTGCTGTTAGCGAGCACCTATGAAGGACGGCACGGCACACGAGGGGTGGGTAGCCAGAACCACGCCCGATCGCCTTTGTCTCACCAGTGGCGACGTTTACACATCACACAGTTGGCTACCTACGGTGCGAAATAAGTCCAACATACATACATACATTACCATAAATATTCTAGATTTGAAGTTTTCGTGACTGCAAGGATCCATACTCTTTGGTTCTTTCGGTAAAGTCACGTAGGTGAAAAATATCTGACTTGTGCTCGCGGATACGGTCAGATATATGACGTTTCGTTTCCCCAATGTAACAATCACCACAGATGCAACTTCGTTTGTAGACTCCAGGGTATTGCAAGTGAGGAATGACATCCTTCACAGATGGGATTAGATCACGGATTTTACGTACTGTACTGAATCGGACCTGGATCTTGTGTTTGTTTAAGATTTTGGCAATCTTTTTGGTAACCCCTGTTTTGTCTTTACCGAAAGAACCAAAGAGTATGGATCCTTGCAGTCACGAAAACTTCAAATCTAGAATGAACCGCCTCTACGGGGAGGGCTTCCACATTTCTGTGAGAGCTTTTAACAGACAACGAGACAAGAAATCAGCAGTACTTAATTCAGCTCACCTAGTCTCTCTAATCAAGGGCATTTCACTGTCCCCAGATGATCTTCTCGTCAGCTTTGATGTGGTTTCTCTGTTCACCAAGGTTCCAGTGCCTGACACCATAGCAATAATTGAAGATTTAGTCCAACATGGACTGAACCCTGATGTTCCTACTTTTGTTAGGCACTGCCTTACTAACACTTACTTCACCTGGAATGGTACTTTCTACAAACAAAATGAAGGTACCCCCATGGGTTCCCCCTTATCACCAGTGATAGCGAATGTTTTCATGGAGAAATTTGAAACAGATGCCATCCAGACATCCACCCTACGTCCTTCCTTGTGGAAGAGATATGTGGATGACACTTTCGTAATTTGGCCACATGGCCTGCCAGCACTGAACCAATTCCACAATCACATAAATTCCATACACCAATCCATCAAATTCACCATGGAAATGGAGAGGGATGGAAAGCTATCATTCCTGGAGGTCTTGTTTGAGAAGAAACCTGACGGCTCTTTGGGACACTCTGTCTACAGGAAAGCTACCCACACAGATTCCTATCTGAAACCTGAATCCCACCAACCATCCAGCACAGAATAATTCCCTCATCAAAACACTACACCGTAGGACCCACTGTATTTCTGACCAACACCACCTAGCCAGTGAACTGGAACACGTACACCAGGCCCTTAAGATGAATGGATACTCGGACTGTATTATCCGCAAAGCTGTTTCTCCAACCATGGAGAAACAACCACCAAAATCTTAAACAAACACAAGATCCAGGTCCGATTCAGTACACATACGTAAAATCCGTGATCTAATCCCATCTGTGAAGAATGTCATTCCTGACTTGCAATACCCTGGAGTCTACAAACTAAGTTGCATCTGTGGTGATTGTTACATTGGGGAAACGAAACGTCATATCTCTGACCGTATCCGCGAGCACAAGTCAGATATTTTTTACCTACGTGACTTTACCGAAAGAACCAACGAGTGTTACCATAAACAACCATCATCAATGAACTGCTGGATGAAGGCGTCCTCATGCAGTTGCCATCTCGCGGGGTCCTGCAATGCAAGCGTTGCAACAAGCAATCTCGCGCCTGCACATGAGCCAATTTCATTAATTCAGCTATATCAAGCGCAATACCTCGCTGGTCTTGTCAAGAAGTATATACCATCACGCGGACTCTGGTCACCATCGGACAAAGACGTTGCTTTTGTGCAGCCGTCTGGACTGCTCTTCATTCCGATATGAGGAAGCCACTGGGAGCTATGCACTTTTAAACCGTCTATTTTGACAAACTCATTTCTTTAGAAATGAGTTTGTTTCGTTTATTGTCCATCCCCCGCACCTCCTATTAGCGCGGTTGGCTATGTATGGTGTGAAAGAAGTTCAACCTACATACAGAGACTCACGCAGAGACCCATAGGCACACACAGACCCATAGACTCACACAGAGACCCATAGACTCACACAGAGACCCATAGACTCACACAGACCCATAGACTCACACAGAGACCCATAGACAAACGCAGAGACTCATAGATTCACACAAAGACCCATAGATTCACACAGAGACCCATAGACTCACACAGAGACCCCAGACTCACACAGAGACCCATATACTCACACAGAGACCCATAGACTCCCATAAAGACCCATAGACTCACACAGAGACCCATAGGCTCCCACAGATACCCATAGACTCACACAGAGACCCATAGACTCACACAGAGACCCATAGACTCACACAGAGACCCATAGACACACAGAGAACCATAGACACAAACAGACCCATAGACACACACAGACCCATAGACTCACACAGAGACTCATAGACTCACATTGAGACCCATAGACTCGCACAGAAACCCACAGACTCACACAGAGACCCACAGACTCACACAAAGACCCATAGACTCACACAGAGACCCATAGACTCACACAAAGACCCACAGACTCACACAGAGACCCATAGTTTATTGTCATTTCTCCGTGCCTCTGATTAGCGTGGTTGGCTACGTATGGTGTGAAAGAAGTTCAACACACATACACAGACTCATACCGATACCTCTATTCTCACAGACCCATAGTGTGTTGACTTTCCTCACACCTCCGATTAGCGCAGTTGGCCATGCACGGTACGAAAGAAGTTCAACACACACATGTGGTGGACGTCCTCTTGGACGGGTCGTTAACCTTGGCAGACACCTTTTATCGTCAGCACTGATGCCGGACTGTTGGTCTGAAGAGAAACATTTCAAGATATTGCCCTTGTCGGTGCTATGTAAGGTGAGCCACAGCTTTAGCGGTTCCAGTTTCAGTTACGTGGACAACAACGGAAAAAGGGGCCGTCCATAAATGGCGTCACGCGATTTTGGACGATTATTTACCCCCCCCCCCCTTCGTCACACGGCGTCACAAAAAGTCAGACCCCCCCCTCAAATATGACGTCACAAAGCTCTGCCCCCTCCCCAAAAAGAAAACATGCTTCAAATCGCTTTAAACTATTGTCATCGTAGTGCGTATTTAATGTGGCGCTGCACTCTGATGTTGTAGGAGAATTTTTTTTAAAAAAGTCTATTTAATTAAGTAGAACGTGTTGTCTATATTTATTTAAAGTTGCGCATTTTGATGTGACGTCACATTTTTCCAACCCCCCCCCCCTCGTGACACATCGTCACAAATGTCTGACCCCCCCTAGGTGCGTGACGTCATTTATGGACGGCCCCAAATGTGTGATACCCAGTCAACACGAGTGGGTTATCAAATGGGAAAGACCCGAGACCAGATGGTGCAATACCGTCAAGGCAGATCTTTTATAGAAGTATCATCTTCTAAAGACGTTTGAGGCCACGTGTCCACTGTGCAGCAGCTGCGGAATCTGTTGGAGGGTCGAACGCGCTGTGGAGGCGGCGTGGCATCAGCGGCTCTTGGCCACGGTGCCGTGTTGATCTTGGTCAGCTCAGTGACGAGTTCGTATCGTTGCTTTACAATGATAAGGTCCGGTACCGTGTAGCCCGTGCTATTCTAAAACAAGTTCTACCATTTCGGAACCAATCCGACTGATCCGTTTCATCTTAATAATGTCACAGTGCGTCCCATCACAGCCGCAGTGATGGATAACAAAGTCGCCCGCAGTTTGTTTCCGCACAACGTACCACCTTTTGAGTGAGCAAAGACGTAATACGTAGCACAGCACGACTTCCTTAAGCGGGTGCGTGGACCAAAACTGCTCCATCTTCATTCCACGCGTTGATACGCAGTACTGTATACCCATGGGGTGGTGGGTTAAAGGGCACCGAGTGTAGAAGAACAGATACATTCTTTGAACCTTCTCGTTCTTTGAAAACCGTGTCCTATTTATAACGTTGGTATGAATGACGCATCTGTCAACGTGTCAAGACTTCGCGGAGGTGAACATTTCCCAGCCGCGATCATCGAGCCGAATTTGCACGCTTCCCCCCGCCCCCAAATAGGGCGTAACACTACTGTGTGGAAAGGGGGGTTTACATGCAGAGTTTGCACATTAAAATCATGACATGATGGGACTCATTTTACAAGGAATCATGTCTGCATTAACCACAATACTTGTGGTCAGAATGCCAAAAAAACACTCTGATAATATATGCATTGTCTTTGAAACGGATTGGTCCACACCAGAGACAGTTTTATTTTGAGCCTCGTCTCAAACGGTGTTAAACGGTGTTAGACCAAAGGACGCCAAAAGGCGTACAGCTCAAAGACAATGCACTTTCAGAGTAATGAGAGCTCGGATCGAGCTTTACATCATGGGACCTCCTCTGTCAGTATTCTCTCGGCTGCCTTCTGTCGGCCCGTGATCGTGGTGGTAGGTAAAGCGACTTACAGCGCCTTATTATGGCGCAATACTTGTACGTACGTGGTTGGTTTATGGGTGACTCATTGGCGGTACAGTTAAAGTTCTAGATTTGAAGCTTTCGTGACTGCAAGGATTCATATATTTAGGTTTTTTCGGTAAAGTCACGTGGGTAAAAAAATAAAATTAATAAAAGTAAAATAAAAATAAAATAAAAATCACGACGTTTCGGAGGCAACACAAGCTTCCGTCTTCAGATGGAACCGTCACAGCACGATGGCTGTATCAAGTAAGAGAAATTCTAAGAAAAACCGTCCTTGTATATGTAATGCGGTTGTAAACGGCCCTTCTGAGGTGCCGTCAGGGGGGGAGGAGTTAGGTCACGTGGGGGGGCAGAGGGGTTGAGTATAGAAGGAGGGGAACCGGAAGAGCAAGGGGAGTGACGGGGAACCAGGAACAGAGGAAGGCCACGAAGGGCGAAGCGGGGTGTGGCGAGATCGCCACGAACACGGGGGGAGCGAGGATCGGCACCGTTGGCCAGCGGTGACCGACCCGAAGCAGCGAGGAGGCTGCAGTCAGCAGCGGGGCTGCACAGAGAGGGTGGGCAGCGGGTCTGCATACAGTGACAGCCAGAGGGTCTGCACATAGGGGTAGCAGCAGGAGTCTGCATAGGGGTAGAAGCGAGTCTGCAGGGAGGAGGTTACAATAGATGAAGCAAAGAGTCAGAGGGGAGAGGAAGCTATAATAGCAGTGAATAGCCGGGGGCTACAAATACAGGAGTTATAACAGAGTGCCGTGTGGGTAAAGACGTGAACCTGAATAAAGACACGAAGACAGAAAGAAGTGTTCGAGTCCTTTTATTACACTGGAGTCAGAAGTGAAACGGCATGGCGAAACAACTGAGGAAGAAGAATATCCCATCTCCGGCGTCGGCTTCATCATCGGACGACGACGATCTTCCTCCTGAGGTCGGCTTCACTTCGGCGGAGGGAGAGATCCGTGAGGGCCCGGGTGTGGAGGAGGTTGCCGCTGCGTCCGACCCATCTGCGTTGAAGGACGAAGATTTAAGATGGACCCGGATGGCGGAGCAACTGGCGACCCTAAAAACCGTCATCACGGAGTTGTGTGACCTTGTCACGCCAAGGGCGGCGTTGGTAGGTGATGGTGGTGATCGGCAGGAGCCCGGGTCGTCCTCGATGGCGCCGCCATCGACCACGCGGCGTGAAGACGCCATCTTGGGCGTGGCGCACCACGGAAGGCGGGAAGCCGCCATTTTGGGGCCGCCACGAGGATCGTCCGCCATCTTGGCGACACCGCGTTGCGACGCCTTGCTGAACTTGCCGCCGGAAGAGTCGGTGACGGACGGAAGCAGGCCAAGGAGCCGCAGTCGTCACCTTACAACTGTTAAGGAGTTCTCCATCGGGGGCGATTGGAGTGCGTTCGCTTGTCGATTTTTGGCGGCGGTACGAACGGCAAGGTGGACGGACGCCGAGGCGCTGGAGGTGCTTCCGACTCTCCTTGACGATGAGTCTGTTCGTTTTTTTCGCTCTATAAAAGCTGCGAAGAAGAAAACATTGCGTGGAGTGTTCGACGAAATGGCGGACGCGTACGAGCCACCGGATGACGCCCATCGCCGCTTCGTGCAGCGGCAACGCGCACCGGAGGAGTCGCCTGTAGCGTACAGGGGCGCCGTGCTGGAACTCGCGATGGCCGCTTACCCGGAGACGGAGCCTGACCTGCTGGAACCTCTCATCTTGGGGAAGATGTTAGAGTTATCCCGGGATCTGGGCATTCCTATGCCGGCGTGCGGTCACGAGAAACTCACGTCCCGGACCGCGGCCAAGTGTTTGGACGCCCAGTTCAATCTCCGCCGCTGGAAACAAGTCACGGCGTGGACGGGCGGTCCTGTCGTCGATGGGGGGGCCGTAGGGTGGGACCCTACAAAGGCCGTGTACGTGCCGGATGCGACCGGCCCAAAGGAGCTGTCGGCCGCCTCCACTCCGTGGCCGGCTCGAAGCGGGCCGGGGCCGCGGGCTCCGCCGCCGGCGCGGCCACGTCGGGACGGGGTGCCTGCTGCGCGCCGACCCAACGTCGACTGTTTCCGTTGCGGCCGTCGGGGCCACTATGCCAGGGACTGCTGGGCCCGGGTTCCGGGGCCGCCCCAGCAGGAGGCCTCGATCGCGGACGTCCCAAAGAAAGACCCTCCGGCACAGGCAAGTCGGTGCGCACCAGACACCCGGCAAGGCCTGACACCTCACTCATCGCCGTTGTTGTGCGACGCGGATGTTCTAAAATATGGGAGGCCAGTATCTGCGCCTTGTCGCTCGATAACGCAGTGGCGTAAGTTGGCTCGGCGGGTTGTCGCGGCCGCTACAGGTTCGTCCACTGTACCGGGGTCGATCCAAGGGGTGGACGTGCGTATTTTGGTGGATTCCGGGGCGTCCGCGACCATTATTTCGGATGTTATATTTCATCTTTTGAACATCCCACCGGGGGCCGTGAGGCCGGCTTACGCTTCCTGCATCGCTGCGAACGGGGGTAGTATGGGCATCGTGGGACAGGTGGACGCTAATATTTCTATCGGGGGGGTCTCGGCCTCGGGCGTTGTGTTAATTTCGAGGTCCCTGGCGGTTCCTTGCTTGTTGGGCACGGATTTTTTGGCTAAGATGCCCATTCTAATTAGAATTAATGAAAATTGCATTGAACTACCAGGGGGCCGCAAATTGGCGTTTTTACAGTCCACCTGGGGGCGACCGGCTCCGGTTGCCCAGGTGCAGGCGTTATCGGAAGTTTCAGTTGATATTCCACCTGGCTCGCAGATGCTCATTCCCCTACGATACCGGAAGCCGGTTCCGGGTCGGCAGGGTGCTTGTAGAATTTTGCTGTCGCCGTCCGCCGCTGTTACGGGCGGATTGGCACTGGTGGGGGCGCAAACCATTGTCCGTCCGGATCAGCGCCCGTTTTTGCAGGTGTTAAATGCGAGTTCTGAAAGCGTGTGTGTGCCGGCTGGTACCGTTGTGGCACACGCCACTACGGCGTTTACGGCTCAGAGTGACATTCCGGACGGGGGGCTGGTGGGTGGTGTTTCACACGACGGAGGGGTGGACGATCGTTGGATCGCCGAATTATGTGCGGAAAATTCGGCCCTTTCCGCTGAGCAGCGTTGTGCGATTCATAAATTATTAGCGAGCTATTCCGATGTGTTTAGCTCGGACGATTTGGACTTGGGACGCACCTCGCTGCTCTCTCATCACATCGAAACGGGGGACGCGGCCCCTATCCGCTTGAACTCGCGTCGGATGAGTCCGGCTGAGCGTGAGCACGTTCGAGGGGCAGTGGAAGACATGTTGAAAGCGGATATTATATCTCCGTCTAATAGCCCGTGGGGCGCGCCTGTTGTGTTGGTTAAAAAGAAAGATGGTAAATTACGATTTTGTGTGGATTTTCGGAAGTTAAATAAAGTATCGGTGGCAGATGCGTATCCCCTGCCGCGTATGGACGATTCTCTCGACGCCTTGTCAGGGGCTAAGTTTTTTTCAACGCTAGATCTCTCTTCGGGCTTCTGGCAGCTTCCCCTTGACGAGCCCTCGCGGGAAAAGATAGCGTTCCGTACGCCGCAGGGGTTGTTCCAATTTAACTGTCTGCCGATGGGGTTGAATGCAGCCCCTGCCACCTTTCAGAGATTGATGGAGTTGGTATTGACGGGGTTGCAGTGGGAGACATGTCTCATTTATTTAGATGATATTATTGTCTTCAGCCGCACATTTGATGAGCATTTATTGCGGTTGGAGGCCGTTTTTGCCAGAATGCGTTCTGCTAATTTGAAATTCAAGCCTAAGAAATGTCATCTACTGCAACGTTCCGTTCGATACTTGGGACATATTGTTAGTGCGGACGGGGTGGCCACGGATCCAGAGAAAACTGCGTGTGTCCGGGATTGGGCAACCCCCGCCACGGTGGGTGATGTGCGTCGGTTTTTGGGGTTCGCCTCATATTACCGGAGGTTTGTTCCGAATTTCGCTACTATCGCCAGGCCTTTGCATCTCCTTACTGGGAAGGGGCACAAATTTGTGTGGGGACCGCCGGAGGAGGCGGCGTTTCGGAGCCTGCGCGACCTACTGGCTACTGCGCCGACGTTGGATTATCCGGATTTTGACCATCCCTTCATTCTGGATACTGATGCGAGTGACACCGGGATTGGGGCGGTGTTGTCCCAGTCAAAAGGTGGTGTTGAGCGTGTGGTGGCGTACGGGAGTCGGGTTTTGTCTCCCGCGGAAACTCGTTACT